GTACAAAGGTTTAAATGTCTTATGCTTGTTCTGCAAGAAGAATCTGTCTTGAGGAATCTTGCAAGTCAGACATATTCTGATATTTCATTTTTATAGTTAAGGTTTTTTTCCCCTCTAACTGATCTCCCTGAATTTTTAGGAGACAACATTTCCTATATGCAGCAGTAAAAGAAAAGTGAAAAATCTTTATACAGGGCTTCCAGTCTTCAGAGTGCAGTCTGTCAGTTCTGCTAACAGTCTACACCAGCTCCAGCTCAAACAGTGATTGTGTGGCACAGAACCTTTTGTGTTATCTATAAGGGAAATGCTGCTAGAGGAGGTCTGGTTGGAGTTTCCTGGGCTAGGAATGTGCTTAGACACACATTCTCTGGAATCCCCCCCCCTTAAAAAAATCTCTTTTGTCTGCTGACATGGTGTGCTAGAAAATCTGTCTCTCCCCTCCATACTTTTCAGGCTTTTCTGAGGGGTTACAGTCACTAAATTTTTATCTGTCTGCTGTAGAGCCACTGGAGTTGTTCCATGACTATTGGAAGGGAGGAGGTTGTTGACCTATGACATCAGCATCTCACTTTCTGACTCCACTGGATATATTTTGTCCCAAAGAGATTTCAGTACAGAAATTCCGTGACAGCAAGTGCATGTCGAGGACCAGATCATTGATGTGTTTGATTCATCATTGAGTCATGACAATGCCTCAGCAGACTGGGATGCTAGGAGCAAAGGGTGATGGAAACAACACCATTAGAAAGAATGCCAGGCCAGAAAGCGAATCTTGAAAAGTCATACATTTCTGGATGTGAATATTAAATCATTTGCTAACTGTTTATCTTCATTTAGACATAGTAATGAGGCTTTCTTCAGACATTAAAAGGTGATGGGAAGGGGTATTTCTTCAGAAGTAACAAAATACCATGATTGCACTCATTCATTTTGTGTCTGGCTGAAAGTCCTTGTTAAAACTTCACTGGAAGATAAATTGCAAACTTTACTGCAGTAATATTGTGTAGTAGCTACACTGGAAAAAATATGTTGTACTGGTCTTTGTATGAAGATAAAAGGCTTAGACAATGGAAGGTTTGGCGTGAATTCTCTGAATAAAATGTATCCTATCTGTTAAAGATGATTATTAATAATGAGGAGGGGGCTAGGAAGCACAGATGTCTCTTATCGACCCCCCAACTAAAAATCAGTACCTTCTAAAGGTGTTTAAGTTTTGTTCTGGTAAGACTTAGTCAATAGATAAAGGTACCACTTCGGTGGGAAGGTAACAGCGTTCCGTGCGCCTCGGCGTTTAGTCATGCCGGCCACATGACCACAGAAATGTCTTTGGACAGTGCTGGTTCTTCGGATTGGAAACTGAGATGAGCACCGCATCCCTAGAGTCGGATTCGACTGGCTTTCGAACAAGGGAAACCTTTACCTTTAATATATGTCAAGCAGGGGCAATACATAGAAGGTTGCACGTTGCATCAGATTTGGGGTAGGGAAACTAAAGGGGAAGGGAGGTAAAATGCTGCAGCACTTAAGACTGTACTGTGTATTCTGGGGTCCAGAGAAAAGGAAGCAATGAGCCTGTGATTAGTGTGGGTGGGTGGGTTGATTCTCAGGACCGTAGTCAATACTATAGTTTGAAAAACCTGGCTTCATCATCCAATACAGCAGCTCCCTTTGTTTCCTTGTAGAGAACCATCTCTCACCCTGAGGAGAATGGGTCTGAACACTGGTTTAATATTTTGAAATAGTTGGTATTTTAAAACAGTTTTGTTTTCACTGAACAATAAAGCCTTATATATTCTAGTCAACAGACCTTTAGGAGAGTTATGTTAGAAGTATTTGTTCAAAAGCAGAGTATGGCTTTGTAAATTCTATTAGATCTCTTAATTGCAAATACCTGGAGCTGTGGTGGCTCAAGTGGTTAAGACGCTGAACTGCAGGCTGTGGAAGGTTGGTAGTTCAGCAGTTCGAGACCTGAGTGCGCCGCATGACGGAGTGAGCTCCCGTCTCTAGTTTCAGCTCCTGCCAACCTAGCAGTTCGAAAGCAAGAAATTGCAAGTAGATAAATAGGTACCACTTTGGTGGGAAGGTAACAGGGTTCCGTGCACCTTGGTGTTTAGTCATACCTGCCACATGACCACGGAAATGTCTTTGGACAGTGCTGGCTCTTCGGCTTTGAAACGGAGAGGAGCACTGCAACCCTAGAGTCGGATTTGACTGGCTTTCGAGCAAGGGAACCTTTACCTTTTTATACCAAGGAAACTGTACATCATGGCCAGCTCAGGGCGGCTTACAACAACATAAAAACTACAATGCATAAAATCACAGTGCTAAAACCATAACAATAACAATATTAAAAGGTGCTAATTATAATCCAATTTCCAATAATAGATATCAATTTAATGTAGTTAAGTTGTACACCACATATGGTAAAAAGAGCCAGTTTTTTGTTTACGTTTCCAACATACGTTTGACATACTTGGATACCATTTAGCTACGTTTTCAGGTGTTATATGCCATCTATAAAACATTTTATATGTGTTTTCTTTATAAGACACAGCTTTGGTGAGCTTTATATTGACTTTCCATACCTTTTCTCATTGTTCTAATTGTATGTTATGGCCTATATTTTGTGCCCATTTAACCATTGCTTCTTTTACCACCTCATCTTGCCTTTCCTCTCTAATAACAACTTATAAAATAATTGTATATATTTCCCTTCAACACACCACAAAATTTTATCTATTTCTACAGGTACATCACAGAATCCCATCATTTTATCTTTCACATATCGAGATTCTATTTGGGCTCTTTCCCACCAGTTCAGGTTAATATCTGTTTCTTTTAGCTTTTCTTGCTGAATTAATTTGTATTGGCTATCTAACCAGTCTTGATATCTCCACATCTTTGTAAATGACATTGGATTTGTAAAGGCTTCTAATGGAGAGACCCATTTTGGTATCTTGTTATAATACAATTCCTGAACTTGCTCCCATTCCTTTATTAATGCTGCTCTCCATATATGTTGCTTTGGTACCACTTTGTTGGTACCAAACAAAAGTATGCCAACCCAGCATTAGATCATGTCCTTCCATCTTTGACAATCTCATATCTTCCAAAATAATCCAATCCTTTACCCATGTAAGTGCTGCCGCTTTATAATACAATTGTCAATCAGGTAGCACAAATCCTCCTCTCTCCTTGGAATCTTGCAATATTTTTAACGTAATTCTTGGCTTTTTACCTTCCCAGATGAATTGTTTTATCAGCTTTTCTAGCTCTTTAAAGTATTTTTGGTCTTTTATAATTGGAATTGTCTGAAATAGGAAGATCAATCATCTTAACTGTTGCTATTCTTCCCATAAATGGTAGTTGCAAGTGCTTCCAATTTTCTAGATCCTTTTTCATTTCCGCCAGTAACTTCATATAGTTATCTTTGTACAATGAACTGCATCTGTTGGTTATTATTATGCCTAAATAATTAATTTTTTTCTGTACTTCCATTTCTGAAATATTTTGTATAACTTGCATTTGTTCTTTAGTACAATTTTTTAGCAATAGTTTTTTTAAGGCTTATTTTCAAGCCAGCATACTGTCCATATTCTTTTATTACTTGTAGAAGTTGAACTATTGAACTTCGGGGTTCTTCTAATATAAATACCAAGTCATCAGCAAATGCTTGTAGTTTATACTCCTCTCTTTTAAGACTAAGTCCCTTGATTTCCCCATCTTCTCTAATCATGTTGTCTAATGTTTCAAGTGTTAAAATAAATAAAAGCGGGGATAATGGGCATCCCTGTCTTGTTCCTTTTCCAATTTTAATATTTAGCGTAAAATCACCATTTACTATCATTCTTGCTGTTTGTGATGTGTATATTGCTCTCACCATAGCATAAAAATATTCTCCACAGTTCCAGGCCACCAGTTGCTCCAACATGAAAGACCAGTTAAGATTGTCAAAGGCTGGTTGAGCTGCTTTTGAGGGAAACGGCTTTTTTTGCATTTTCAACCCCTTTGTTGTGCTTCTGAATCACTGTGGTGTGCTGCTTAAAGTGTCCATAATGCTTCCTACAATGCCATTTTCCCCCATGCAATCTTCCTCTGGCTTTTAAAAACTATTCTACAGTGAGTACTATTTAGCACTCACCTTAGAACGTTAAAAAAAGTCCAAGGAAAATCACGCAGTGAGAAAGGGCAGCGGGCAGGGAGTGGCATTGTTTGAAATGACCATAATGCTTCAGACTGAAGAAAATTTGCTGTATGACACCCCCCCATATCTCTTTACTTGAAATCAAGCCAACAACAAATAACATCTGGTTTAGAATGGTAATGTGGAAAGATCAGAGTCAGCAGCAAGGCCAGCAAAGCCAGTCTGGCACACAGCACCTGTGTGTTTCTCTTCTTTCCAGTTGTATTAGTGTTTTGATCCCACTGGAGCCAGGGAGGGGGAGCCAGAAGGTTTGGGTGGGAAGGGAGGTGGTGAGATACTCTACATCAGAGGTTCCCAGACTTATTGGGCCTATCGCTCCCTTTTCAAAAAAAAAAAAAAATTACTCAGCACCCCCCTGGACATCTACCTTCAAGAAGTGGACAAAAACATGCAGTTTGTGGATCTACACCTGGATTGTCCCAGCACCACTGAGGGGGTGGTATTACTCATTTCAGAACCAGTGCTCTACATCTTTCTCACCCCCAGAACTGTTCTCCAGCATTTTTTCTCTACTTAGAACATTCCTTTCCCCGTGTTTTGAATTTATGCATTCAGTGTGCAGGTGAAAATTAGTGTTTGGAGAAAACTGTTTCAAAAACACAGTAGTTTTTCCTAAGTTGTTCTCGGTGTTGAATTTGGGTTTCCTTAATGTGAAGTGGACATGTGTCCGGTTGTTGAGCATGTGCAGCCCCATCTCTTGCCCCCGGTGAGTTATCAACTCTTTAGTTATATATACTGCAATGTTCTAAGCTCCTAGGGAACAGGACTCAACTCAGCCTTCCATCTGTCTCTACAGCTATGGCAGCCATTAGAAAGAAGCTAGTGATTGTGGGAGATGGTGCCTGTGGGAAGACTTGCCTCCTTATTGTGTTCAGCAAGGACCAGTTCCCAGAGGTCTACGTACCAACTGTCTTCGAAAACTACATCGCTGACATTGAAGTAGATGGGAAGCAGGTAATTCTTTGCTAGCAGCAATTTGCCCTTTGATCCTGAGAGGCCACTGCTGAATCTGTCAACTTCTGTTTCAGTTCATCCTTAACCAATAGACTTCATACTAGCCTTGACAGAAATACCCTTAGAAAATGTTATCAAGTTCACCTCTGTTGAGCATTGCCCAGACCTTGGTTTTCATCTTTATAGAAGGAATATCTCAAGTTAAATGTTACCATTGGTGTCAGCTTGATGATATTCTTTAGGTCTTTTTCCTGTGTTTTCTTGAGGTCCCGAAAGGGAGGAAGTACAGCACCAGACTGACAGCAGCCTGATACAAGGGTTAGAAGAATATGGATGAAAGCAGACATATGTAAATTGAATTCTATAGATATTCCCCTCTTCAGACTGAACTGAGCCCAGGAGAAATCATACACTTTCCCTCGCTTAGAGCAGTACATCATATTAAAAACTACATATACATACACATGAGCTATGTAAATGTTTAAATCTTCCTCACGAGCCCTACTGTGACCCCATTGGGATATGCAATAGGGACCCTGCCAACAAAAGTCCGCATGGTCAAAGCAATGGTATTCCCAGTAGTCATGTATGGCTGCGAGAGCTGGACTATAAGGAAGGCCGAGCGCCGAAGAATAGATTCTTTTGAACTATGGTGCTGGAGGAGACTCTTGAGAGTCCCTTGGACTGCAAGAAGAACAAATCAGTCAATCCTCAAAGAAATCAACCCTGACTGTTCCCTGGAAGGCCAGATAATGAAACTGAAGCTCAAATACTTTGGCCACCAAATGAGAAGGGAGCACTCACTGGAGAAGACCCTGATGCTTGGAAAGATTGAAGGTCAAAGAAGACGGGGACGGCAAAGGATGAGATGGTTAGACAGTGTCATCGATGCAACGAACATGAAGTTGAGCCAACTTCAGAGGACGGCAGAAGACCGGAAGGCCTGGAGAGAGCTCGTCCATGGGGTCGCGAAGAGTCGGACTCGACTGTGCGACTGAACAACAACAATTGCAGTCATTATGTATCCTGTGAGATGTGCATTTTTGCCTAAACTGTTTTAACTGTTGACTTTTACTGTACTTGTGCCTTAATTGTTTTAACTTGTTGTATTTTTATCGCACTTTTGTGCCTGTGTAAGCCGCCCTGAGCCCGCGTGCGGGGAGGGCGGGGTATAAATGAAATAAATAAATAAATAAATAAATACTGTCTATACCCGTGCTGCAAAGGTAAGGTGGGTGGCAACCAGAGATGAGCAGTGGCTCAGTGGTGGCACCTGACCTTTGGAATGCCCTCTCCCTTGAGGCTCACCTGGTGCCAACCTTACTCTTTTAGGTGCCAGGCCAAAACACTTAAAGTCAGCATTTTAATGAAAGGATTGCTCTTTTAAGACTGTTTTTCCAGTCTGCTTCTAGTCTGAGAACTACTTTGAAACTTATCATCATCATCATTATTATTATTTTATTGGCTGCTAAGTGTGTTGTGCCGCTTTTAATCCTTTATTATTTTTTACAAATCGTTATGGTGTTTTGTGATATGTCTTACTTCATAAGTTGCATCAAAGGGTCTCTGGAGCAATAGCATACAAATTTTCTAAATAAATGGACAGACATTAACCGCCTGGAATAAAAGAAAAGGTAAACCAAAAAACTGCCTGAAATATGAGGGAGAAAGGTGAAAATCTAAGCAAGAGTCTAAACCAGATACAAGTGTCAGTAGAGCAGGAAGGAAAACCAACCTTGCAGATGTAATAGAAAAAAGCCTGCTCCTTGGAGGAAGTACACCTGCCCCCCCCCAATACCTTTAGACTGCTGAAGAAATCTGCTAAGACTGCCTGTTCATAGGATGTAGTATAGGTTCAGATACTACAAGAGTCTTGAAATGAGTTGTCTTTGTAGAAATCGGAAATGAAAGGATTGACCAAATCCATGGTCAGGATGGTAACCTTACTGGAAAATGTGTGTGTTCTGTGGGTCTTAAGGGCATACTCCACAACCCACTGGCTCAGAGTTGTTAACAGTAACTTCAATACAACTATTCTAGAGTGAATTATGAATTTCATGTTCTTATTTCTCTGTAGCTGCACTCTTATAATTTGCCATCTTGCATCAGTCAGAAGAGCCCTGGTCTTCAGACAGCTTTATGGTCCTCTAATACAGTTTAGTGGTGCCCTTGAGGGTAATACTGCAAAGCATCCCCATAAAGCAAAAGGCATAAAGGCCCTAATTAATTACTGGGCCTGGGCAGCTTAATTAGAGCAGATGTTATGCCAAGCAGCCTTATATCTGCCAGAGAGGCTCAATAATGTGAAGTTACAGGGGACACAACATATTGCTTTCCTGCTTGCTTCAGTCTCAGCTGTTATCCAGAGGGGTGGTGATAGTGCTGGTTACTGATGTGAACTTCCCTCTATCTCTAGGTGGAGCTGGCCCTTTGGGACACAGCTGGGCAGGAAGACTATGACCGGCTGAGGCCCCTCTCTTACCCAGACACTGATGTTATCCTTATGTGTTTCTCAATTGACAGTCCAGACAGTTTAGGTAAGACTATAACAAGCAGGGTGATGAATACACAGGCTACATGATTCTGTTCATTACACTGGTAATATTGATTTAAGAGATTCTTTGGGAACCAGCACGAGCAAAAGTGAGGCAGTGGAGATTGCTGGGCAGAGATCTGTTCAGTTTATTTTGACACAAGATCAGCTTGAAAAATATTAATAAAAACAGCCAAAACTGCCAAATACAATACCATGACCAACCAAACAGACTGCCCCCCCCCGCGAAGCAATGTTCACAGACTGAAGAGCCACTATGAACTTCCATTAATTTTGATGCAGTTCGTGAAGAGCAGAAAGCAGGGGTTTAAATGGCTCTGAGCCATTTAAACCCTTGTTTTCTGCTCTTCATGAAAAACCGCTGAGTGGTGGGGAGCAGAAAATGGGTTTAAATGGCCAGTGAAACCCCTGCTTTCTGCTCCCCACCACTCAGCTGTTCAGTTTAAATGGCTCTGAGCCAATTGAGCCACTCCTTTCTGCTGCCCGCTGCTTTTGACGGTGAGCAAAAAACAGGGTTAAATGGCTCAGAGCCATTTTACCCCCTGCTTTCTGCTCCCTGGTGCTTTTCTGGGTTTAAATGGCTTACAAACCAATACGAACCAGTTCAGTTTGTAAACCAGTGTACTGGTTCATGGTTTGCAAATTGCAGTTCATGTCCATCCCTAGTCACAAAAATCCTGTGAAGATGAGGTTGAGAATGACTGGTCCAAGTTTATTTCTTTCCTATCCAGACACTGATATTACTCTGTGTTGCTGCTGAAGAGGCCTCATGGAGTCTGTCGCTACCTAAGATAGGTCTTTAAGTGAGCAAACCTTCCAGTAAGCAACCAGGACATTCATCAGAACTTTCCCTCTGGCTGCTACTCAAAATAGCACAGGCATGCTGGTCTCCATATGGGAGATTCTGATCTGCCTTATAGTCCAAATGGTTTGCAAGATTATTTGGATTCTCCTAAAACAGCTACAATTACTCTGAAACATATCATTTTGACATAGGGGCATCACTTTCTAGCTCTTCATTAAGGGGTTTGTGGCCATATAAAGTGAAAACATTGCCTTATATTGGTAGAGAGAGCCAGAATTTCAGAGTCAAAAGGCTCTGTTCATAGCCTCCATTTAAGAGGATGCAGAGGTTAGCAAAACTTACAGGTTCACATTAGAGGTTCACATTGAATCTTGGATTTAAAATAAAACAGCACAGCTCTTCCACATTCAAGACAATACAGTTTCCTCAGTCCCTTGGAATTTAGTAAGCTTGATTGGTGTCTTGGATGTGTTTGTACTATGACCTTCTGCACAACTTGTAAGCAGTTTGGCAGTAGGGCATCAGCTGCTGAATTCAGGAGGAAGGAAGGAATGAATGATGGCAGTATTTGTCAGAGTTGGAATCCACGAAGATGGGGGCGTATAAGCATGTTTGATCTTTTCTGAACAGCTCCTCTTTTGTGCCAATCTGCCCCTCTGTAGCTGGTCTACAAGGATGCTTCTGACTGCGGATCTGGGGTTTTGGTGGGGATCTTCTCCTGCTCCACTGAGTCACTTTTTCCGCTTTAGCTGGAGTAAGAGTACAGTGTTGCCTTACAGCTGTGGGAGGGTGTGGTAAACGAAGCAAGCTGACAGTTAGCATGCTGACCAAGACTCTGAAAATAGGATTGCCGTTGTATCCAGCTTTGCCTGTGGCAACAGGTTAGGTCTTGTCTCCTTTGGATTTGGGGGTGGCTCTTTCAAAAGAGCAACTTTCTTCCTACATGTCTGGGGATCATTCCCTTGCATCTCTCCATAGTGTCTTAGTGTCCTTAACGTAAAGCCTTGTCTAAGGGCAAGAATTTCCTCCAATGTGTCTGATTTTTTCCTCAGAGAACATACCAGAGAAATGGACACCAGAAGTGAAACATTTTTGCCCAAATGTGCCCATCATCCTTGTGGGAAACAAGAAGGACTTGAGGAATGATGACCACACCCGCAGGGAGCTGGCGAAGATGAAACAGGTATGGGTCCGTGGGTACCACTCCGTTTTAATTTCATTAACGTTAAGACATGAAACCTTTTCACTGCTCTCAAGAAGAGTTAACTGCTTTGATGTGGGAAACCCTCACACCAGGTGTGGTGTCTAATACTATGTAGAGCAGTGCTGGTGTAGAGAATCAGTCATATGGAAGACTTTTTCTGTGTAGTGAAGGTAACATGCAGACTGATCCTAAGTTATCTCTCATGTTTAGATGGCAGATAACATCTCTCCTTGGAAAAATATCGGGGGGGGGGGAGCTTATTTTGATGAACTAAATAAAAGCTTAGAAAGTCAGTGTGTTTAAAAAAACCTAGTTTATCCAAATGAGTGTTTGTGGAACAAGGACTTCAACAGTAATATTGGAGGGAAGGGCAAACTTTCCAGGGTTTATGGTTTTGTCAAAACCATAATATTACATTTACATCCTGCCTTTCTTCCATCATGGAACTCAAGGGAGTCTCCCATCAAAGCACTGAAGCCCCAGGATGTTGCATCAGGTGTCTTCCAGCCATACCCTGGGAAATGAGCTCTATGTTACTGTGGCCAAACATGGGGCTGCATTAGCAGCTCTGTCGCCACTTTCTTGAAATGAACAAAATAAAGAAGGGGGAAGAGGCAAAAAAAGTGAATCTCTTCTTCCATACTGGGGTTAAAATGTTTGAAAAGTTTGAAAACAGTGTTGCCCTTAGCTGTAACTGCTGTTCATCTTCGGTCTTCTGTGCAGTCCCACATTGTGACTGTGCTCGCGCAGGGCAACCATTTTAGTCCCACACTGGGAACATTTCTTGTTTAAGGCTTTCTGTGACATAACAAGGTGAAAGAGAGAGAAGCTGCAAAGCACATATTTGCTCAATGGTGGCAGAAAGAGAACTGAAGGAGGGGAAAGGACCCCCTCCCAGAAGCACATGGCTGTTGGGTGGGAAAACATGGCTTCAGGGAGGGGCTCCCCTCTTCAGCTTCAGATGTAGAAAGAGGCTGGGAAGGAATCCTCCAGTGGTTGGCCCAAGGTGGGACTGCACAGAAGACTGAAGATGGACACTACTTCTCTGAAGCAGTGGAATGCCCAGTAGTGCTTTGTGGCGTACAGGGAGCATAATAGTAAAAATCAGGTCCTAATTAAAAAACAGTTTGCCTGGCATTTCCATAGCACCATGAACTTGGCTGAAAATATGTAACTGAGATGGGGTTTCTCTGTTTCATCTTTACAGTGCCTAAGTTGATAACTTAGCTAAGCACCTTGCAAGGTGCTACAAGGAAAGGTGGTCCAGAGAGGACCTGGTCCCAAAAAGGAATGCACTTCTCTGCAGCCAGTCTCTTCTTATACCTGCTTTACTTAATATATCCATAGTGCTGATCAACCTTCTCATAAATTCCAATGATTTGGGAAAGATACTGTCATTTAAGTGTCAAAGAACACTGATTAAGTCCCAGCTGACTCTGTCAAATCATAGTAAAAGTGATGAGTCTTGGGAAAATGTTCACTCATATTTCCACAAGAAATAAGGTCAGAAGTGCTTTATTAAGTTCCTGAGTCAAAATAGATACTTTATCTTTGAAATTGGATTTTGGGAAAACCTTCATTTTGTGATTTTTTTTTTTTAAATAAAGGAGCCAGTGAAACCAGAGGAAGGGAGAGACATGGCAAACAGAATCAATGCTTTTGGGTACCTGGAGTGCTCAGCCAAGACGAAGGATGGTGTGAGGGAAGTGTTTGAAATGGCCACTCGGGCTGCCTTGCAAGTCAGGAAAAACAAAAAACGCAAAGCCTGTCCCCTCTTCTAACAAGGGAGCGTTGGCGAAGGAAGTGACTGTGTTGTCTGAACTGTATCTGTATTTTTCCGCACACTTCACGGATGCAAGTTTGGGGTGAGGAGAAGGGCTGTTGGCTCTGTCTGGAGTAAGAATTTAAAATGCCTGTCATGCCCTTTGCCACCCCCTCTTCATAGTAGCTAGGGCTGCCTGGGGGTCCTTGTGGTCTCTCTCTGGGCCATGTGCTCATGGTGTCCTCTCCAGCACCTCCTGTGCTTGAGGACCAGATGTCTCTTGAGATCTCTCCGTAAACACTGTTGTTTTGTATAGGGTAAGCAGTGCACCTGAATTAATTCTGCATTGCTGCTTGCTCCCATTTTATACTAATCTTACAGTTCAATGCCTGGTATAAATTCATGTAACGTATCCTGTCTTCCCATTCTTGCAAATTAAGGAAGCTACATTTGATTGCTGAATATTGCAGTCAGTGGAGTCCTGCCCTTATTAAGATATGCAGCACGTGCACCTACCTCTCTACACAAACTTGTCAAGGCAAGTGGGAAGCCTGGCCAAAATGCCCACCTATATTTCTGCGACGAGCTGAGCTCTGCTGTGGTCAGGAATGCTCTTTACTCTTTTTGGTGTTCGGGCAGTGCCTTGTATATAAACGATACTGTATTCTCTCTGCTTCCATTAAATTAAATCAGACCTTGAAAGAAAAAATGAATTCTCCATCCATCTTTCTGTTGGACCATTAAAGCACATGGAGCTGTGTTGTGCCTGCAGCATTCTTCCAGTGCAACTGAGTTGTGTTTGAGCTGTAGGACCCAAGGTAAAAACAGCTGTACGGACTGGCTCTGTACAGTGAGTGTGTTCCTCCAACTTCCTGTTAAAAAAGATCAAGCTAGACATGATACTGGGAATTTGGTGACCGGAGCTTTCAAGTGTCCTTTATAAAATGGCTTCTGCTCAGGGCCTCAGTTCAGAGCAGGGAGGTATGGGAGTTAACTCTTCCTCTTGTGATGAAATGGTCCACACAGAGCTGCTGTTTTGTCCTGTTTGTGGCAAACTGATAGACATTCAAATAGATCTGCATGGAAAAATGATTCCAGTTAGGCCCTTGCACAGCTGCTGTTCATGAAGTAGTGTGTGGGAATGTTGGTCTGAGACATCTGGTTTGATCCCTATGGCTTCCTCTGCCTGGTTGATCTTGGCCATCTAGGGTCTGAGTTCCAAATGATGAAATAAAGAGTGTGCTGAGAAGACGTCTACCACTTTGTATTACACATGACATCCAGAATGAACAAACTGCCCTCCAGAGAATAAACAATCCTTGGGACACACTATACTTGCCAAATGGTAATAACAAATGGTCAAACCTAAGTAGGCTGCTTCCTTGAAGCAATGAATTGGGTACTGGTTCATGGGGGCCCGTTAAAGTGGAAGAGAAGGCAATCCAAAAGTGGTCAATTTTGCTTCAGAGCACCCATCAATTGCTTTCCAAACAGGCAGCTGTGGCAATTTGTTGTAGATGAAAAATGGATAAGGTACACCACCCTGTGCTGCTTGAAGCATCACTATGATGTAAATTTTTATAAACGTCTCTCATAAGGTTGGATCATTCACTATTGCGTATCTTTGCGTACATCTCTTGGTGCGCTTCATGGCTCTTTACTGCTTTGAACTCTGGTCTCCTTGCTGCTTTCTTAAAGTATGAACATGATGGGTGGTAGAAAAGAAAATGGCTGCACGAGGTTATAACTAGGGGTCTCCAATGTGGATTGCCGTTTTAGAAAGCGGGTGGGGCAAAGCTTAGCAAAAGTGCCCTGCAGGCTCAAAAAGGTTGGGGACCCATGGCTTATACCATATTAACAATCGTTTGAGATTTAGTAACTAAGGAAAATGAGCCAACCTGCAGGCAAAAAAGTGGAAAAACAATGTTTTTTCTTTGCACCCATCACAAAGTGCTCTAGTATAGTTGGTAGCTGCGTAAGAAAGAGGCCTGGTGGCTTTAGTTTTGTCCTTAGTAGTGCAAGAAGAAACTCCTTTCAATGATCGGCATTAATAGTCCCCAGTTGCAGCCATGGAATGGTAGTTATGTATAGGGAGTACTAGGCCATCATGCTCATGGAACATATCACCTCAAGGAGGAACAGAGTGATGCCGGGGAAAATAATCATTGCAGTGCATACCTTTTAACAATTTTAACCGTATTCCTGTCCATAAAAGTGTGATTTCTGTCTTACAAAGGTGTTGAGTTATTGGGGTTTTTTTGTTGTTGTTGCATTTTAAGTATGCCCCAAGACAGTTATTGAAATCCATAGAGGCAAAATTCTTTTTTTCAGGGCTATAGGCTGGTGGTCTTCAACATGAGCCATAATTCACTATGGCTATGAAACTAAAAAGCAAGCATGTAATCACCTCAGAATGGGCTTCGCTGTTTTCATGGAGGATAAAGCGATCTCTGACTGCTGTCAAGGAGGTTGTGACTGTTGATATTATGCTGAAAACGAGTGGAGAGGATCTCCTCCCCCAATCACTGTGATGCCCCTATGGTGACATAATGGCTATTAGGATCCCTTTTGTTATTTTAAAATGTATCCTGTGAAGCTGGGCATGAAATGGTAATAGTATAAAACCAAGGCATTAGGAGCTGCCATAGGAACGTAAAAAAAATCTGCAGAGGAAAGCAGATTTTTAGTGGTCAGCACAGCAAAAGCCCACCTCATAGTATCACAGAGTTGGAAGGGGCCATACAGTCCATCAATGCAGGATCAGCCTAGAGCGGAGGTGCCAAACATAAGGGCTCTTATGCAGCCCATAAGCAACTAGTACGAGGGAGGGAACAGGAGGCTGCTCAGGGGAAGTCGGCGGAGCCACTCCACTTGTAGCTTCAGCATGGCAGAACAACCTCATCTGCAGCCGTCAAGCAGCATGGGAACCTCTGCCCAGTGCTGCACCACTGTCTCTCCAGTCCGCCCATTTGGGGTTTCCTTTGCACCCCCCCTTCTAGCCCATGGGGCCCTGCAGTGAGGATATACCAACTCAGAGCTCTCCAGCTATCCTTTTTATAGTTTATATGTCTGGTACCTGGCATTACATTTTATGGCGCACATGGCCCAGCCTGACAAAGTGACCTTTATGTCAGATCCAGTCCTCATAACAAATGAGATTCGACATCTCTGGCCTAGAGCATCCCTGACAAGTTTTTGTCCAGCCACTGCTTAAAGACTGCCAGTGAGGGAGAGCTCACCACCCCCCAGGAAGCGGATTCCATTGTTGCACAACTCTTACTGTAAACAAGTTTTTCCTAATATCCTGCTCATTTAAAAAACAAAACAAAAAACACTTGGCAGGCACAAGAAAAGGTGTCATCCTGTCCCCAGCCTTTCGAAGCATGTTGATCCATTTTGACACTGGATAGTGGTCACAACCACAAAATGGCTGCCACAAAAAGTAGAGCCAACCAGGAAATGGGTACCACAAGGTGGGGTCAACCACAAGATCTCAAGGAGGAGGAGGAGAGGAGATTGGATTTATACCCCACCCTTCATTACCCAAAGGTGTCTCAGAGCGGCTTACAAACTCCTTTCCCTTCCCCTCCCCACAACAAACACCCTGTGAGGTAGGTGGGGCTGAGAGAGCTCTTTTGAGGACCACTCTTTCAAGAACAGCTCTTATCAGAACTACGGCTTGCCCAAGGTCATCCAGCCAGGTGCAAGTGGAGGAGTGGGGAATCAAACCCGGTTCTCCCAGATTAGAGTCCGCATACTTAACCACTACACCAAACTGGCTCTCAAGGAGTGAGGTCATGCATAATTCTAATAGTAACTCTTCAGTATTTCTGACAGAAGCTCTAACTGTCTTTTAAAATGAACTTAATTTCTTGCATACACATAGCTTACCTTCAGTCACTCAGTGAAGATCATTGTGCTGGGGTGGCAACTGCTGTGAAAACAGCTTCTGAAATCTGTACCGCTAATGCTCGATCAGAAGCCCTTCTGAGCAAAAGCCCCCCTGGCCCTGCCCATTTTCTAAAACAGTGGGTGGGCACCAGGAAACGTGCTGGCAGGCACCATGACCCCCATGGGCACCACATTGGAGAACCTTGGTTTAGAGCTTCTTTATAAGGGTTGTTGCCTTTATGTGTAGGATTTTGATTGGATTGGGTAATTACCTGCAGCAATAAATGTTAGCTATAGCGGACAAATCATACAGGGCTTTGTGCCTGTTAATTTGTAAGTTGGCTGCAAAGTTACTTCAGAGTCTTATCAGAGACCAATGCAACTATGGACAAGGTTAAATCTAAAATAATTGATATACAAAGTATTCTTACAACTTTTTCGGAACAGAAATCTCTTCAAAAGTATACCAGATAAAATCAACAGCTGCTCATAGGATTCACTCTGTGATCACAATGTTTTCTGACTGAATGGAAACAAAGAATGGCAAATTTCTGCTGGGGAGTCTGTTGATCCTAATGTGACTTCTTTGATCTAGCAGCAAAGGAGGAGTCATGTACCCACTTTAAAATGTTCTTGCATTTTACTATTTCCATTGCCTAGTGACTATTCCCCTGGATGGAGCTAATGTGGAATGCCAGCTGGATTAAGTGATTGTATTTGTTTTCATTAAAAAAAATTAATTTAAAGAATATGTTTTACAAAAAAAACTCAGTAGCTTCATTTACATGCTTGTTTTGTGCTGTATAATCCATTAGGTAAACTCAATCTCTTCTAATTTTAGTTGAATACAAAATATGAAAAAAATCAGAAAACCCCAAATGGTCTTGTGACACTTTTAAATACTAATGAATTAATGGTAGCTTTATTGATCATCTTTACAGTATCATCACGAGAAAGCAACCTGGATATCAAAGGAAATCAAATTCTGGGAGTGAGGTGTACCAAGTTCTAAGTTTGAAAGAAGCCTTTTTGGATGAAAGGGATAGGACGCAGGTATCTAAAATAAGTATACTAAGGTCATGTGGCTTTCTCATTTTTTGGAGAACAAGAGCTTGAATACTTTGATTTTCCCCTTAATTACTGTGACTTGTTTGTTCACAAAGCAAATTTAAGGACGGCAGATGAAATTTAGGCTGATGTGGGTCATGGTTTAAGCAACAACAAAATGTGGTTTGTGGGGGTTTCTTGCACCTATTTTATGTGTATGCTGCAGCTGTGGTTATATTGGAGCAAATGTGTTGTTTTATAAAGGTGCTCAGCTGTTCAGAGTGCATATTTAGCTATTCTGCAGCATGACTCAATCACAGGAACAGCTCCTGGACCTAAGAAGGCAAGATGATCCTTCACAGCAGTGGAGAGAGAGAGATCATCCCAAATGAAAATGTCATTCCTTGAATGTTGCTTCTGTTTCCTTTGCCCTCTTTCCAAGCAGTGCTGCACCTCTCTTAAGGAGTTACACTACCCCGGATGTTTCCAAGTAGCATATTCATTATCAGTATTTATAGGCCTCATCGTCATGCCAAAAACTACCGGAGAGACCAGCTTTTACTTTTCTGTTTGCTTCCTCAGCAGGCAAGGAGCCAATGCTGCACCAGCTGCTCCCATAATATGCAGATTTCCCTGGAGCTGTGAACAATAGTTGCTACTTGTACCATTCACAGCTCCTTCTCAATAGACAAGAATAATAATTGATGCAATGGCAATAAAGGAGATTCTTCCACCAGTGGAGATGATGCAA